AATGTGACCTGCAGGTGGTATCGCTGTATAAAGAGCTCAATGTGAATGCTTTCTCTTGCAGCACACCTGCAGCTGTCTTTGCTGCCAAAGTTCTGCTTCAACTGGAAATTTGATGACCTGCAGTGATGACAAAACCTTTAAGCGGCTAAATTGGAAAAAGAAAAAACAACTATAATTTGTTAAACCATCCTTTAAATTATATTTTGCTTTTTAGCTTTTTAAAAGCACTCAGAGAGACTAACGTCGCCCCGGCAGCAGCCACGCAGACGAGGCCGCCCGCATGTCTGCAGACATTCTCTTCTTATCCACCTCGAGAGCTCAGGCATCGGCCGATTGTCTACAACCGGCATTAATCGGTCGACCACCAACTCGTGTGAAGGACGATAATAGATTAACATCACAAAGAGGGCTCTACAGAGGGGGCGACCGCCCACCCTACAGAGACCCTCTCTGTGGTATTTGTGGTGCAGGCTCATGTATGTGCTGCATTAATTAGTTGCTAATGTGTTTGTTTGCTCATACCAGAGGCAGAGGCCTTTTTCACTTCACTGAACTGCTTGTTTACCGCAACCCAAGGTCACTCAATTACTCGTTAATCACTTTCTTCCCGTTGGCTGAGCTGAGAAACTGCTCCCGTGGGATTTGTCTCAAACTGACACTCAAAACTCATCACTGTGGCATGTGGATGGAATCAAGTCTTAATTGACCTTTGGCTAAGTCCCCCCCCCCCCCCCCCCCCTAAAACTGTCAGAGCTTCGTTACCGTGGAGCCCACACTGTCACTATCTGCACTCCCTCTATAAATAGCATCTAATTTACTTGATTGACTTGAGGGTCTACAATATGTGTTTGAAGGATGTAAAACTGATTCATCAGTAAAAACAAGTTAAAAAGATAAAGATAGAAGCTAAAGCTACAGATCACAGAGTAACAGTGAACCAACACATCACCTGGGGATCCAGACAGAAGACAATGAAACTAAGGAGCAACACTGTTCCTCTTTATTCACTGTTACGATCATTAAAAAGATAAAGCAGCATGTGTTTACATTTAGAATAGCTTCAGTAGCTAGCGTAGCATAGAAGTGCTAAGGCTAGTTAATGATGTGCTAACATGGTCTGCTGTTAGCTCCACAGGTTTTGAGGTAAAAACGTGGCGTTTCAGAAACGTATATCTCCTTCCAGCCTCTCTGGTTAACGAGTATCACTGTTACACAACGTTTAAACAGGACGAGCTCCAAATCCACTAAACCAGCCTGAACGTGAAGAACATCTGAAACCATAGAATGAGAGTCTGTGGAGCCGAGCCCGGTGGTTATCGGACCCTGATTGGAGCCGGCCGATGCTACGCTGAGATTGGCCAGTCTGTGTCGAAGGGCGGGACCTCGGTGAAGGGTCAGTGGATGTGAAAGCTTTCTTGATTGCCCTTACATTTTGCACAGATGGTCATGTTCTCTAGAGGGTGAATCCTACTGGCTTTGGTGAAACATGTTGATTCGTGGTGCCCAAAGGATCTTTCTACATGGTCTGGCATTCGTGGCTTTGAGTGAGTTGTCTCGTTGACTATTTGTCACAGTTCAGCTCCACACCCTCCTCACTCTTATTGTCAGTCACTCCCTCCTCATTAGTCTAAACTCCCTTCACCTGTTCACTCACCTGCCTCTGATCAGCAATCAAGCCCCTATATAGACTCCTGCCTCCCAGACACATTTGCCAGATTGTTCTTCAGTTCTATGCCAGACTCTCCAGCACACTCTCACGGGCTGATCTCCTGTTACCGATCCTGCCTGCCCCTGTTCTACCCGCCTTGCCTGACTCCCGGTAAACCCACCAGCCTTCTGATCCTGATCCTGTTTGAACTGTGCCTGCTCTATTTGAAGTTAGTAATAAAAGCCAAAGATCTCTGGGATCCTGTGTGTTGCATTTGGGTCCATATACAACCCGTTACACTATTAGATGGATGTCTATTTGTGTCTCACTCTGGATTAAATGGTATAACCAGCAAACTCCCTGGTTTCCCGAGCAACCACCTTTGTGCTGGCTGTGGATTGGTCCTCAGCACATTACAGTGTTGGAGTTGGAGATACGTGAGTAATGCACACGTAACCTGTTACATGCAGTGTGCACACACCGTAGAGGACACCGTTCATGGGTCGACACACAGAGCATGCTGGAGCTGTTCTTCGTCTTTACCATTGCTCTCACTAAACTCCTGTCTCCTCTTCCTTTTGTGATCAGTTTGTTCCCCTGATATCGGACCGTTTTCTGTACTAGTTTGACCGATTGCCCATTTTGCCCTCGTGTCTTGGTAGTATTCTACTTTCCTGCTTGTTGACGACCATTTGTGTGGACTGCTTGTTGCCAGCTGTTCCTATTTTTGTGACCATTGTCACAGTTAAACTGCCCTAAGCCTGCAAGCAGTTGCTGCTGCCTGTTAGATGAATGTAAGCGACTTCTCCCGTATGCAGATGCTACAAAACCGTTGAAAGGTGAACACAGTGGCCCAGTTCATTGTGCATCTTACTCGCTCTGCTGTCTGTTTAACAGCATGCTCACGTAGAGTAACAAAAGGAAGTCGGGACCCTTAAGAATGAGCGATATGAGCAGCTATAGCCCGTGAACGGCCATGGAATCAAGTCTATGCTGCGTAGTTGTCCTTCTAAAGTGCTCCTGCTTACCTCTCAAGTTGTTATACTTGATGCACTGCTGAATGTGTCACTGGTGTTACTTTTTTCATACTACACAGCAACACCATTGATGTGAAATACTCCCAGAGGCCACTTTAAAAAGAAATTGATGATAATTTATACAAGCTTTGATGTATCGGGCTTCTTGAGCTATTAATTAATTCTTCATGTTCTCACGCGTGATCAGTGTGACCACCGTTTTAACCTCTTCATGACAACATCATAGGAAGTGCACCTGAGAAACGAGGGAGACCGATTAATATTAATCGCAGTCCAACGGGTATGTGACGCTCCTCTCTCTCCACCCCCCCCCCCAAAAAAAAACACTTCTTCATTTCCTGTGAGTCCTTTCTTTCTTGCTCTCTTCTGGGGTTCATTAAAATAAAACGCATAAGAGTCCAGACACGGATATCAAAAGGTTTGCTTTCAATAACTCACAAGAATAAGACGAGAGAAAGTGAGTGAGGGATGTGATACATCCAGGAATAAGATGATGGTGGTGCTTGTGTATAACCATAGATCGATGATGTATGCAGAAAGAGACGCTTCGAGGTCGACTGTGCCCCTGCGGAGACAATGGTATACATTATAGACTTCAACAGCTCATGACGTCACACTGACTGAAATAGCAAACACTGTCATTCAGAACCTTGCAATGTGAAGCCATTCAGCTGCCATAATGTTATTTTCACTAACCGCCGAGTATTCGATAAATGTGTCTCTCTGGAAGTCAACAAAAATCAGTTGATAGAAGTTGCAGAGATGTGGCGGCTGAGTGCACAACAGCATTTATGTTAACTATCTATTACACAGGTTTTTAAATGAAGAAACCTGTAGTGGAGTATTTTCACAGTGTGGTATTGGTACGTTTACTCAAAAGAATACTTCCTCCACCCCTGCTGCATTTAGAAAATGTTGCCTAGACCGTACAAATGCAGAAAACAACTTGTCTAAATATAGACGAGTGGAGGAAGGATAACTTTCACTGATACACTGTCCTACTGAAACATACTTTCCCATGATGTCACAGTCGAAACTCATGATGAGCTCTCTGCAGCTCCAGTCCAACTCATAATCTACACTTCAGCTGGAGGCATGTTATGCTACGTGTCCATGCCGACTCGGAGCGCTCTGAAAGGCAACTCCTATTTGTCAATACATGCAAGTGTGCATTTCAATTGTGCTTTGTTTTGCTGCGTGCAAAAATGTTTATTGTAAACTGACCATTGTGGACATCACTGGTGTCTTTTAAGTGGTCACACTGGGACACAAGAGGAGGGGGGGGGGGTCTGTCTGAGCTGGGTTCCCCGTCGCTGTACTGAAAGGCACACATGTCAGACGTCCTGCTGAACCACAAAGGTGACTCTTCCTCAGGGATGACGTCAAAGTGTTTCTGTTTAAAGCAACAAGTCACATTGAGGAATAAGTTGCGTTGCTCTTCTTCAACATTCAACATCAAAACTACCCGTGTAGTACCTACCACACCGTACACATATAGCGTTTCACAATACTGATATTAAAGCTTGATTATGTGAATGCTCATTGAACTGCATTGTTTTTTTTGAGCATTTCCTGCATGTGCATCTGAGGAGTGAATACTGATTTGAAGTCTGTTTAAATGTTCTTTATGAACAATGCTCCCAATGGATCCTCCAGTGAGTTGTGGAATTACATTTGAACAAACTAGCAAAGTAGTACCCTCACCAGAGTGCATTCGCTGGTGGCAGAAAAAAAAGAACCTGCGCTCACTAGCAGAGATTAACCGTGACATTTTGCTCTCATTTACACTTCAAAGCCAAACCCGTGCCCCGGTCTGGAACCCCACCCTGCAGAACTCTCCACATCCAGATGTCCATTTTGTATCGTGTCATTTTCCCTTTGGCCTCTTCACTGGTATCTTTCCCCTCTTCGGTCACTCTACTGTATCGTTCTCCTGTAAAGTGTATATATAATGCACACTGGACATTCAAATTTAATGTAAGGGTCCAGTTAGGATTGTGCAGCAAGTAGAGATACTGTTACTATTCAAGGGTTGAGGGAAACGTGAGAATCAAAAGACTCCAGTTTGTTAAACAGGCAATTTGAGAAAATGAAGTGCACTAAAGGAGGAAAAATAATCGTTTGAAAGACATTCAGCACGCAGGGATCTACAATGAGAGTGCTGTGTGCAGAAACACGCCTGAGACTGACAGAGGTGTGTGTGTGTGTGTGTGTGTGTGTGTGTGTGTGTGTGTGTG